GGAACATGGACAAAATCAATTTATAGAATATATGAATCAAAGGAACGAATTGAAAACAACTATAATATTCCTGATTTGGTACAGACATTTTCCGCAGAATATGAAGGGTCAAATACACTGCACTGCACATGTCTGTGCCGTCATCTTTACAAATACGTTATATGTACGTACGGGTAACTTGCTATACACGTTTGACAGGGATGAATAATGCATATGTCTTTCCATCAGCAACAATTGTAATCAGACACAAAGAAACATTTAAACCTAGGAGTCAATATTCCTTTTCTGCCTGGCAATATGCCTGTATTATCTATTCATGGTGTAGATATAACACAACTTTGTTTTTAGTAACAATGAATCAGTGTTTGAGAGAATGAAAGTACAGCTACGTAATCTGCTTATTCACTGTGTAATATTTAGCTTAAACCTTTTTTAAGTCTTCATAATAGTTACGGTTGCAATGTTTCTCTATGTCCGTCGTTAATTTGAAAATGCACAACCATTGATTATGCAGATATCCCCTAAGGGAGAAACGTTTAATCCCACAAACACTAAGATGAGGCCATTAGTGGTGCATGAAAGTTTATACTCGTTAAGAGATCGAATTTTTAGTCTACTGTGTTTTGTTTTGTGGAATGTTGCTTGTCTTCATCGCCGTCATGTACTGTTATTTGTCACTTTTCTTTTGGAATTTACGTAATCATTTACATGCAGTACTAAATTTGTATAACGTTACACTTTCTGTTTCAAAACATTTGGCAAGGTGTAGTTTGACAAGGATTCAATTACCTGGTGACTGACACACAAGTATATTACACCCCATTGTTGTCAATACAATAAAATTGTATACAATTGTCACACAGTGAGAGGTGTAGCTAGCTATAAAACCAGGTTTAGTCCACAATTTTTTACAAAAGTAAAAGCTTGTACCTATTCAGGAATATGACAGTTGTTTTCAGTTCTTTTGATACGTTTGAGGTTTTGATTGGCCATTTGCTAAAGGACTTTCCGTTTTGTTCGGTATTTTTCATATTTTATTGTTGGAAATATTTAAAATTTGAAGAAACAAAAAGATGCGGGTATGGCATGTACACTGTATGGTAAGAAACCTCATTTGTTGCAGATTGAATTCCAGCACATATTTCATATAATAAAATCAATAAAGAAATATTACATTTTATTTGAAATTCCTGTGTCCGAACCGCTTATCTGGATTACCTTCATCAGAAAGCCCAACCTAAACATTGGATAGACAGTGATCTTGAAAGAAATACAAAGCCGCTCGAGGGGCTAAACGAGCAAAAGGTTTAAAAAAAGAATACAAAATTCCTCTATGTCAACTTTGCCTAAGGAAGCTGGAAGAACCTTATTTTCTAACCAATTTCTTAATTTAGCAATAGGGAATATAAGAAATAAATATATGGGATTTTTCCTTCTATTTGTAGCTTGGATGCAACAGTAGTGATCCAGTAATATATGACTGTGGGAGTGTGTATGTCCAGAAATTAGACACTTACTTAGAAATATACATCGGAGTAATTGTGACGTGTATAGTGTGTCAGGTATGTAAAACATCATTGTAAAACTGACCATTTTAAACACCGAAGTGAGTTTGTTGAGTGGTTTTTTTTCTAGGGGACACAGTCCTTAACAGTATATTATGTATTTGACACCGTTTCATGTTATTGGCACACACCAGTATTCATTGAAATTGTACCAAAACAATTTAATTTGAAAAACTGATAAAATTTAATGATTTTGTACAGATAGAAATGTTGTATTTTATATTTTTGCTTTTTACTTGATTTATAGTTACCCCTACTGTTTATTAAAACCCCAACAGCATGCCAAATGACACAGAATACAGCAACAGGCAAATAAAAACCAACCAATACTATGACCAACAGAAACTTCTAAAAGACCACGAAAAGTCCACATAAAGTTCCATACAATGATTCAGCAAAGTATGGAAAGGCAAAGGTGTCATTACTCCAACTTAGCAATTCTTAAACTGTATAAATGTAGCTGTGTAATTTGAAATTCGAACTTTGCTACTTTTAATTTGTAATAGTGCCAATAATAACTGCCAATTTTAACTGTGTTTTCTGTAATTACAACATGGACAGTTTGTGATATGTACTTTTCTAATTTGTTCATGTGACATGTGTATAGTTGTAATTATATTTGTCAAGGAGGGGCGAAAGATACCAGAGGGACGTTCAAACTCATAGATCGAAAATAAACTAACAACGCAATGGCTAAAAAAATGTTAGAATGTGCATTTCTATACCTTGAAATCAAAGACAAATGCGATATGCATTCGTTTGGGATTGATATGTGTGTAGCATAGAAAAACGACATAACTTATAAACCATTATTGAAATAAGATGTATTTTGTTAAATATTGATACTCTTACAGATTGTTACAATAGTTGCAGCTGAATACACATTCCGTAAACTTGAATTCAAAGAAAAAGAATCAAGCATTTCAAAGAATACGTATTATATATTGTTGAGTTTGAAGCTTGGAATATTTCGAAGTATGATCATCTTTATAAAAGATAATTGGAACAGGTGAAATGTAGCATTTTATTCATAACTTGTACCTTATATAGATATAAGAAGATATGGTATGAGTGTCAATGAGACTCTCCATCCAAGTCACAATTTGTAAATTTAAAGTAAACCATTCTCTTTATTTGTTTAGTTGTACAATAATAAGTATATAGTAGTATGTTTTTATTGTGAAGATAAAAACTTGACATATTGTTAATTAAAGTTGATTATTTGTTTTTACATAATTTTTTGTAAATTATCATATAAAATAATATATGAATATTATATCACATTTCTATACACAACAACATTTTTGTTCAATCATGTTTGTTTAAGCAGTAAATTCTTCTTAAACCGAACATTCGTAAACAAAAGATAAAACTAAGTATAGATTAAACCAAAACCTATAAAGCATTGTAAGAAGAATTCGACGAAAAGACTGATTATGATTAAAGGCTTATTAAAAAAAAGAAGATGTGGTATGATTGCCTATGAGACAACTTTCTACCAGAGACCAAAATGAAAAAGAAGTTTATAGAACTATAGGTCACCGTACGGCCTGCCATCAACAATGAGCAAAACCCATACTGCACAGTTTGCTATAGAAGGCTACGAAGTGACTCAATGTAACACAATTCAAACGAGAAAAGTATTTATCCTTTTCATGCATGAAACAACGAACTAAAACATATGGTAAACAGCAAAAATCGACAAGATTCTTATTTGGGACAGGCACATAAAGAAAATCGAATGTGGCGGGGTAAAACTAGTTTGTTGGCGCCAAACCCTCCCCTTACCTTGGACAGTGGTGTTACAGCTCAACAAAAGAAGAAACTATAAAAATCAGTTGAAAAGGGCTTAACTCATCAGATCGAAAAAAGCAGACAAAAACTTCAAAGAAAAACACTAACTGTTCGTGGAAGGGTATACGTATTTATACATCCTGACAACCATAACAACACTTAATACAGATCTGAGAGTACTCGCAAATGCTAACAAATATTTCAGTACTCAGACGTCATTTAATATTAGTCCCCGAGGGTATCATCAGCTCGGTAGTCAGTACGTCGGTACCGAAATGATTTCTAAAAAAATATCTAAAATGGCCCGTTTATAAATTATGAAATTATACAGAAACTAAAGTTTCAACTCCCTCAGGCAAATTTGGCCTTTGATGAATTTGTCTATTTTTAGGTCCTTTTTGGTTTATAGCTCTTCAACGTTTTCGGTCATTATACATCGTTGGCTTTCAAATATTCGACTTTAAGCGTTCCTGATGAAGGTAAATCCAGAAAAGCGCATCGGACGCATAACATTTATATCGTGTAGTTTTCATAATTTTACAGTCAGAGAAAAAAAAAGACCTTGTGCAATGCCAAGGTTTTAATTTACTCATCACAAAATCAATATGTATACCAATAAAAACAATATTTAAAGATCTAATTACAGTGAGAGGTTTAGCGCTATAAAACCAGGTTCAATCCACCATTTTCTACAATTTTGAAAATGCCTGTGCCAAGTCAGGAATATAACAGTTGTCCATTCATGTGATGTGTTTTATCATTTATTTTGCCATTTGATTAGGGACTTTCCGTTTTGAATTTTCCTCGGAGTTCAGTATTTTTGTGATTTTACTTTCTATAAATTATGATAATTTCAGCTTCTTGCAATTACAGGTCAAAAGTTGTGGTTGCGTCGGTCACACTTAAGATAAGCTCACTTGTAAGTATTTGAAGTGATCAAAGATATTACAATTAGATTTAAAAAAACTGCCATAATCTTCAACATTCATAGCAGAAATATCATGAGAGCTTAACATGATGGGTTGTTCTATGTTGTGTTTTGCACAGATATAAACAAAATCAAGTGTTAGCTGGCATAAAAATTTACTTCTCATCTTTACATTGTCTGAATATGATGGCACACCAATTTTTTCAGATGATGAAACTTTTAATGTTATTAAAAACCGTATATAAGTTAAGTGCCAGTCTTTGTAAGAATCAGGCAATTTTGAAAAAAAAAACATGGCCGAAAAAACTTACCGACCTAACCAGCCTATTTTGAAGTTACCTTCATCCTGAGTTAGAAATGGTAGGTCTTTCGTTTCTGCGTGTCTGGTAATTCGAGAAATCTCTAGATAAATTTTAGTCAGAATGATAGCAAATTACGGAGTTAGCTCCCCTTAATTTTTAATTTCTAGTGCATTTCAACCAAATTATATCTTGAATTACCAGAACAGGACAAGGAAACGAATGTTATATTCATGCACCATTATACATTTTGAACAAAAATTAATGTCAACCTGAGTGGGTTTTTGTTTGTCATGTTTTCACCACTGCCTGATTCTTAGGCAGATTTGCACTTAAGCACCAAAACTAGTTAAAAGAACATCAATGAAATACACCTCAATGCATTGATAATTATTTTACATATTTCAGGCAGCAGGTGTTGGGCACTTTGTACTCGGGTTAACACTTATAGGGGGCATATTTATTACCGATGGCTCTCTCAGACACATATTTTACAAACTGCAGTTTTACAACTACTATTTCTATGATATACTGTCGGGTCTTGCCGCAGCTTCTGTTGTTATTGGATTATTAACGTCGTCAGTGGCTGTTCTTGGCTTAGTAGGATCTTGGAAGAAATCACCAAGGATACTTGGCACGGTATGTAATTTAGCAACAGCTTGGTTAGATAATTGTATATACGGTGAGAATAACCCAAACAATAATAATAATGTTTCATTAAAGACTCCTAAATATACCATTTTATTGATATATATATATATATATATATAATTGCCTGTGAAAGTTCGTTAAATATTTTTTGGGGAAGAGGTGAAAGGGGTTAAAAGTTGATTTGAATCCTACCGTTGTAAAAAAACGAATTACATGTGCTAATAGTTAAGATCCTCTTTGGTCATTCAGCTCTCCACGCAGTTTGTTAGACATGTTAGTTATACATCTTTAGCTTTAAAATGTTTTGCCTTAGGCGGTCATGTTGACGGATGTTTTTCAGGAAAAGCGCCTAGGAGTTATACATTTATAAATGGTTATTACATTTTTTCTAAATTTTTTTCAAAGTAAAATTCGGACACCATGTGATAAAAAGAAAATTTTTGAGCAATTTCACGATTGACAATGTCCGTTGTGATACAGTTAAAAATGAGTCGAAAACAAACAAACAGAAAATTGATTTGAGAAATACGGAGGCATTAAATAAATAAACAGAGAAGACTTAAGAAATAAATGAAGGACATATAACAAACTTTAAAGGCAAACTACTGTCAACAAATCACTGATTACAGTATTTTTTTTTACAAAATCCAAATGTACCAGTAAATTTAAAGTCTTTATTCCTTTTAAAACATAAAACTCAGCTTTAAGGACAATTGTTAGACACTACCATTCACTGATACACATTCAAAGCACATAGTAAGCCTCAGTGAAGAGACAAAAATTGTCAAAAAAGGCATCTAGTGCATTAAAATTGGTACAATGAAAGTATTAATTACCCCTAGGTAGATACTCCTGCTGGGGATTGTTATTCTCAGAGATTTCATCATTCCAGTAGCCAGTAATTCGACAATGGTACACAAATACGTATAATTGAATTTGACGTTACAAATGTGTTTAAATTTGGAACAGGTATAGACACTTATCTAGTTTTGAAAACTGCGAGATAACATTAAGATGGTTTATTATTTTGATTTACTGTTTCAGTAAAACAATCCATTATATAAATAAATAAGTGGGAAATGATTGTCCGTGAGACAAATGAACTCATCACAGATAAACGGATTAAAATTTAGTTATTGCGTCATACGCGCGTTGTGTCTATAATATAGACTCATAAGTGACGCTCGTATCAAACTAATTATAAATGGCCAAATAAGTACGAAGTTTAAGAGCATTGATTCAATAAGATATCATTATAAGTCCTTACATTTCAGAGTTCTGTTCTCTCTCTGGTTTTGCATATACCAAGATGCATTGCTGTTATACTATGGATAGTTTTCATTGAAAAGGTATGCACTAAATTATTACAAATATGTTTGATCGTAAAAGTTATATTACACATATCTTTTTGATTTAATGTCTAAATTCATTGAACTGGTTAATGTTAGAATAAATTACAAATAGTGAAACCTGTATTGAGCAGTCACTCTTGGGTAATTTCAAAAGTGACTGTTCAAGAGGGGTGACATTTAAAACAAGGTTCCAAAAAGGTACAAAAAGAGGACATTCAAACTCATAGGTCGAAAACAGAATTTACTATGCCATGGAAAAAAAATCAGAAGACACACTTAAGTGCATAAAAACAACATAGAAAACTAAAGACTGAACTTAACGAACCCCTTTAAAAACTGGTGATGATCCAATGTGCTACAAAGAACTCCACATGTGACATCCGTTGTGTTGCTCATTTAAAGACAAACCCAGAGATTAGTCTAATTCGGTAATTCACATTCGATGAAAAGAGAACTAGAGTGTGGTTAAGACAATTTAAATATATTCGTCGTCATCTGTAAACAGATTTTCTATAACGACCAACCAACTCGTGATGGCGTCCGTAAAATTACGAAGGGACGATTTCGATTTTACCTCTTTGATTTCTCGGTTTAATGGCTTGCTTGTGAGCAGCAAACCTCTATGTAAGAAATCATGAGAGCAAATGCCAGACTTGGAATATTGTATCAGTTGGACAATTTGTACTTCATATGCAGGCGCTGATGGAATGTTTCTACATAAAATAAAATGTCGGTGTTTTGTTTTGATTTTGTCATTTTTGATCGACAATTCCCTTTTTGATTTAACCTTGAAGTTCGGTATTTTCGTTATACTTTCCTGCTGTCTCGTTGACCCTTAAATTCCAATTTTCAAACAGACTTTCATTTGTATAAGCATATAATTTGATTATTGTTCATTGATACGGACTAAATGATAACAAACCGGTGCCTATTTGTAGATTTTTTTTCTCTCTCACCAACATGTTGTAATCCATGGTCTTTGTAAACCTAAAATAGAGCGAACCCAGTATGGAGCGAAATACACTTGAGATATATATAGAATGTGATATAAATTAAAAATATGTCATTCAAATTCAAAATTAGATTGCCTTTTAGATCAATGGTGATATGAGATTTCAGTTACGGTTACAGCAATCAGGTTATTTTTATGGAGGCATCGGAAATGAAATAACAGGAAAATGGAACGACATGATCATGAAAGTAAGACATATGTTTACATAGATATCTTAAAAAAAATGTTCGTTATTAATATGTTTTGAAAATTTTATAAGAAATAAATAATTTGTAACATATTAAATGCACACTTCTTTCCTCTTAAGGAATGTAAAGGTCCAAAGTGAAAAAATACAAAAAGAAAGTCACATAAAACAGAAGAAAACAAACAAGACGAAAAGTCAAAAAAAAATTCCCAAAACAACCAAAAGTAAAAGGTAAAATCACAAAAAAACTGAAGTCCGAGGAAAATTGATGATTAAAGGAACCTGACGTCAACTAATAAACTCAAGTGCACAGTATGGGTAGTCAATCCCTGCACCACAAGTTGTATCCGTCCAATAACTCATTTCAAGTGTTACATTTGGTGAAAAAGAATACTTCGCATGTTTTGAAGTAAAAGTGGGGCGAAAGATATCAGAGGGACTTTCAAGCTCATAGATAAAAAAAATAGGAGGGGCGAAAGATACCAGAGGGACAGTCAAACTCATATATCGAAAATAAACTGACAACGCCATGACTAAAATAGAAATAGACAAACAGACAAATGATAGTATACAAGACACAACATAAAAAACTGAAGACTAAGCAACACGAACCCCACCAAAATCTGGGGAAGATCTCAAGTGCTCCGGAAGGGTAAGCAGATCCTGCTCCACACGTGGTACCCGTCGTGCTGCTCTTGTTATTAAGAACAATGAAGTAACAATAGAGAAAAATAGGAAAAAAGTATATATGTTATCTTTGACACAGATATTGCAAAACGGTCAACACAATTGTATTTACAGTACTTTAAATTTTACTGTTTGGAACTGGCGGTTCAATCGCTAGATTATAAGCAACAGTCATCTTTAAAGGACAAAACACTTATAACGAAACACCAGTATTAAGAACAAGTGACAAACCCCCACCCACCCCCCCTCCTCTCCCCCCACCCCCCAAAAAAACGAAAAAAAAAACGCCGAAAATGCATGTGATTTTAAGGTGTCCTGATTCATATAGATTTCATTTAAAACTAAAAATGATAACTTGGATCATTTGAAACGTGAGAGGTTATAGAAATCGAGACAACACAATTGCCAAACAAAAAACCGTTATGTAGGAATACAAGAAATGGACAATTGACGATACGTGGCTCATAAATAAGTGCATCTAAAAAATCATGAAATATATCGGGTTTATAAATAGATACACCATTCACGCGTTTTGTATACATCATATCTTATCAATGGGTTCGTAATACAACAGTAGGAAGACGAATGCCGAAAATTATTAGCATTGAAACCTACAATTCTAAAACAGTTGTGCATGAAGAACTATGGTAAACATTCGAAAAAACATAAATATTAACAAAAGAAACCAAGGAGGCATTGAAAAAACCCAAATTGTGTAAAATAAAGATTTCACTGCGAAAAACTCCTATTTTGGAAATGTAAATGTAGTCTTATGATGTTTTCAGCTGCATTGCTGTGGTGTCGATTATGCCAATGATACACGAAGCATACAGGGAAAACAATTCTGTTGTAGAAATGCTCACTCCAGCATAATGAACTCTAATGATCCTTATACATTTACCTACTCTGCAATGTTTGAATCTTTGTTTGGTGGATGTGGTGATTACAAAACAGAAGTAAGTTTGAAAAAGAAAACAGAAGTCTTTATTTTTCTGGTATCTGTTATAGATAATGTAATTTTCTTGTCGTATAACACCTCGAGGGGTATCAAGATTGATCAAATTAAAGACCGACCGTAGTGATATACGACACAAAACACATTTAAGTGGGATATTCTTTTCTTAAAAACTTAGATATAAAAACGCCCTACGACTCATTTTTAGCGCAAGTTAAAACTAACTAATAATTCCATATATATGTATAAAGGTTAGAAATCACTGTCCAGTTATAATATAAATGGTATAGCAATTGCAGGAATGGAGAAGCAATTGAACTGTTAAGATGTACAAAAAATACAAGTCACTTCGTAAGTTATTTTCCATAAAATCTACATAAAAGGGGTAATGTGATTTTTCTCATGTTTTATGACATTTTGATCGCAGAAAAGCATTTTTTATAACTATTTTTTACGAACTTTTCAGAGTCATTGTTTTTCCTTTTTGTCTGGCAATTGATTTTTGTCTATGAAATAGTATAGCGATCCGCCCCTTTTAAAGAATGTAGGGCTTCCCCGTAGCATATATGAATATTTTGTCATTTAATAGAGTAAGTGTTATTTGTTACATTCTAATACACAGTGGTAATAATTATTTCTGCTTAAATGTTTGTTAAAGTTTTAAAAATAGAGAATTGTACAATAAAACCCAATCGGCAACAACATGTGGATTAAATGTTTTGGTATCGTCAAGGTTGTTTCGTTAAAAGAATGACATGTTGTTCTAAAAGGAAATAATCCATATAGACATTATTTGATTATATCTATTTACAACCACTTGGTTGATCACACTGCTGGTAGAAATTTGCTTACCGAGGATATCACAAACCCATTATTCATAGTTTCAAAAATAACCCCAACTGGGTTGTAAGAAAATCGGAGAAAACCTGCACAACAGTAGTTTTAAGAGCCATATCATGTATTGATAATTATGTATAAAATAAGTGGTGGCACTGATTTGCATGAACTTCTTCCCTTGTCGAAGAACTTGGTACCATTTAAAAAAATGATTTACGAGATTTTTGCTGAGCATTTGAAATTTTTTTTTTTGAGTTTTCTATATAAACTCATCATAGATACCAGGATTGAAATATTTTATTTACGCCAGACGCGCGTTTCTTCTACAAAAGACTCATCAGTCACGCTCAAATAAAAAACTATAAAAAAACCAAATAAAGTAAAGTTGAAGAGCATCGAGGACTACAGACTCTTAAAAGTTTTGCCAAATACAGCTAAGGTAATCCATTCCTGAAGTAGAAAAGCCTTAGTATTTCAAAAAATCAAAGTTTTTTTTTTCTTTTTTTTCTTTTGTCACCAATAACTTTTGTGATAATGGCAATACATTTTTTAATTGCTTCACTCGTCACACATGAAGGAATTGTAAAAGAATCACTTTTCTTGGAAAAGTGTGCCATAGACGCCTCATACCTGAATAATGTTATATGAAGGCAAATACAAAATGTTTTCATGATTAGCAAACTAATTCATGTAATAAGTCTTGTAGGTCCAGACATCATTTAAAAAGTTTCAGACATATATGACTCGAAAAGTAATGTTTTCGTAAATTCCTTAGATCAGGTACTCCCTAAACTTAATAATTTTATGTAGAATTCCCTTGAATATAAAGCATATGACCTAAATTGAACATCTATTAAAACTGAGGAATTGAATTGAATTTGTGTTTAAATCTGATAAAAGAAAAGATATCTAGGGATTAATTTAAATTGGAGAGTTTTTTTCTTTTTCTGGTAAAAAACTACCAAGTCTTAATATTGTTGATTTCAATTGTGGAGAAGCTACGTTACATTAAAACGCACGTGTTTATCATAATAATCAATATCTTTTAGACATGTGCAGATGCAATCTTGGTCAAAACTAGAATGTTTGTTGGTTGGTTTCTTGCAATTGTGCTCCTGCAAATTGTTTTAGAGGTATATTATATTATAAGTTAACGTACTATATGTTTATACATAACTAAATACAGTTCGTTATAGCAGTTCTGATATTTTTTAATTCCAACTAAAAGCATACATTTTAGAGGAAACGGAAGTTGACTTCTTGGATAAACTTTAATAGACTAAACTTCAATCGTTGCAAAATGACTTTAAAGTTATGCCAGTATTTCGTTTATATCAATTATGTAATGAAGAACAGATGTAGAAGGAACCCAACATTTGATGTAACTTCTTTGTACTAATATGGCCAGCAATGCTAATCTGAATTATTAAATATTTCCTTACAATACGAAAAAAAATATATAATAAAAGATTCTATTAAAACGAAAGTATTCATAATTTGTGTTTTGTATCGACTTAGATTATTGCTGTCATCTTTGTTAACAAAGAGTATTCAGTTATATTACTGACAGAGAGAACTGAAAAATCAACAGGAAAAGCATTGAATTCAAAGTCTGTATTGTTCAGAATGATGTTTAGAGGAATACAATCATTCTGTGTTAGTAACTGGAAAAGGTAACTAAAAAAAATATTCGATCGTCCATTATTTTTCCAGTATATGATGCAATATATAATTACAACATGAAAAAAGTAGAATAAGTCGTATAAGTTAACATACAGTAGTTCCGGAATTTCAAAAAGAATGAAGAGAAAAAAGATGATCCTCATTTACTACTGTCGAATTCCTTCATAGAATAACTGATCAATACAATCATCAACACATTGGTGCCGGTGTCTCATCCCACTAGCGACACGTTTTCGTGGTCGTCAATCTTTAGATGCCTGTATCATGTGTAGTCATTTTATCTGTTTTTTTTTGTCGATTAGGAACTTTTTTAATTGTGACATTTCGATTTGAGTTTGTTGGTGTGTGATGTGGGGCAAAGCAAGAGACGATTCGAACAGCGGTATATTACTGTTGCCTTTATTTACCCAACATTTTAGTTCTTGTATCTATAAACCCAACATTTTCATATCTTTTAATGTTTTCAAAAAATTACTTATAGCACATCAAAATTTTGGAAATATATAGATAGGTCCTTGAACTGGTTTTAGCGATACAAGCATTGGGAAATAACAATATTTTGTTGATCTTTCCTTTGATTTTGGGATAGACTAATGTGGAAATGTGTGAACAAATATTTTACAAAAGTTATCTCATATAATGTGATTTATAATGGTAGCATACAGAATAAAATAATGAATTGTTGGTGCTAACAACTAAGATTCTTTTACTATAGTTCCTGAAATATGAAGAAAATTTAGTGATATTAAAACTTAAAAGACTGATGAGGTATTTATCCTAATATGCATCAACAAATTTTCATTTCGTCATACAGTTTTGGACTTATTTGAAAAATATCACGGTAAACTTTATTGTTTCAGTTGTAAATGTAGTTAAAACTTTATACTATATGTACACTGAGATGCGTGAACGATAAATAAAAGGATATTACCAATCATATACATAAGCAGCGAAACCAAACATATTATTTCTTTATGGAAAAAAAATTGCTTAATCGTTAACACCAGCATTCAATAATGATATATTTGAATAAAAGGTAATAATCGATGAGAGATTGCAGAATCACATGCAATAAGTCATCTTAGAAAACAATCAATTATGCTCATTAAAACTCAAAATGTTTAATAAGTTATCTTCATTATTTTTTTTTTTTTTTGTATTTTATGATCTAACGCGCTCATCCATATAATACAATATCTTCCTCCTACATGTATTATTTGAAAGTAAAAAATGTATGTGTATATGATGAAATTTTTAAATTATAGGTCAAAAATGACAATGGTTCACTTAATATCACTTGGAAGTTTGTTCGTGAGTTTTTTCCTGTTTATGTTTTATCAGTAGTTGACTACTAGATATATTTTGTCATTGCCATTGTCTTTTCTTTTGACGAATTTATCACATATAGTCCATTTAACATTCTGTAGAATATCAAAGGAAATATAAGAAAGTTTGCGAAGACAACAAACCAACAAGTTGATAGAAACACAAACCCATAGTTCATCGTTCAGCATCGCCGATAGTGGTATTGGCTACTCATTCAATAGTTCAATGTTTTTTTCACATACTTCGAATTATCAAGAGACAAACAAATAAACAAATAAACAAATAAACGAAAAATTAAAAAAATAAACAGTAAACTTCACTATAGAGATTCCTCATTTTAAACAGTTGAACAACATGTACCGGGCTATATTCATAATGATCAATCAGCCTACAACTTGTAAGCACAGTTAATGAATGAAGAACATTAAATTTTGTAAGGGCTCGTAACAATCAAATAAACATACTGCCATTTTTAAATTGTTTCGGCACCATAGGTAAAAATAAATGACTACACACATTACCAAGTACGTCAGAGACATTATGCTTTGGATACTTTTAATATGTCTGATTCCTTAATCCAGCCTAAACGGATCGTTCAAGACTAAACGGCTATGTACTGGGCTAATAGATAATTTGACAGAGTCTATATAATTGTTTATTACTATACACAGATTTGTAATCTGGTGGTGCTTTGTCTAGCCATCAACATAAGATACGACAAAGTATTTGGAAACTCGGATATACAAGAACTATTCTCAAGAATAAGCATTGCCGATTATTACAACTTTATGAAGACCATCAACGTATTTTCCATTGTGAATGTCACATTTTCGTCAGTATCCATAGCAAATGTTATATTTTCCATAGTTCTGTTGGTCTTACCAAAATGGAAACGAGTTCTTAGTTTTGTCGTAAGTACTAAATGTATTAATATACTTTGAATTGGCATACAGCAAATTTGTAAGTTGGTTTAAACAACTTATTCCATCACTGTTTTAGTAACAGCGCATTTGGCATATGGTAAGCTTCACTTCGTAACAACAAAGAAAGAAAGGTTGTATCAAGAAAACTTAATATTACTGACAAAACCTGTACTGAAATGTGGTTTAAGCATACCCATTTTAAAAACAATTACTAGATTTGATTATATATGAGGAGATTTTAATGATGTTAGGTTTTTATTGATATGACATATTATTGAAAAAGAGATGAAAGATACCAAAAATATATTTAAACTCATAAGCCGAAAACAAAACACCTCAAAACACCATGGCTTAAAAAGAAAAAAAAGACCAATAGACATGAACAGTACACAACGCACATAATAGAAATGTTTGTGTCTCTTAATAAAAGTTAAATACTGTATATAACATGATGACTTATTCAGAACACCAAGGTTGCTCTACCTCCAGGTACAGATTGCATTAGTCGTATTTGGACAATTTTTCAAATTTACGGTTATTTAAGCTTTACAACTTTGTTTTTGATTTAGACTTACAGCAGTTTTCCTCTTAGTGTCACTGGTATTTGTTTTGTAGACGAAACGCGCATGCCGTACAATATTATAAGCCTGGTATCTTTAATAAGTTTTTTAAAAGCCCTCAATCGCTCAAATATAACATTGGAGACTATAACATGTTCAATTATCATATTAATATCGTTTATATAATTACTTGCATATTTTCTGTATTACTAGAGTATTGGGCTATTGTGTATTGTGGCAGTTGGAAATTTTATTCAAGTAGGATTATTCATGAAATTTTTCAATAATGTAAGTGAACCAAGTATACAATGTATTTATTATTGTATTATTCAGTAATTACAGATTTGCTTTTTCTTCTGATCAGCTTTAGTTTTAATGATATCATTGAAACAAGTTATACATAGACCTGGGTAAATAAAACATACTTTCTTTTATGAATTAAAGTACCTTTCCAGACGAAGGATAGTCATTTGAATCTAAACAGTTTCGGGGAGGTAACTGTCAACACAGACATAAACGTTAATTTTCCGTTGGTTTTGTTTGAGATGACTTCGTTATTAAGGAATCTGATCTAGGAACATATATTAAAAAAAAAAAGATCCTACATTAAAACTTAGTATTGAACTGCATATAAAATTAATCGTTTTGACGATTTTCATTGATTACAATTTAAAAGAGAAATGTATTTTATCTTCATTTGCACGGTTTTGCATTTTTTCCGAAAGACGTCATGAAACTTTTTTGAACACTGTATAATGATTCAACTTCCAAATATGTGGTGACTTTCGGATAACATTTTTTTCACGAGCATTTGTAAGGGTTTCACCTGAAAATGAGCACATTTACTCTTCATAAATTCATTTTCATATTTGTACTTTTAATACGGCAAACAACAAAGTAAATGTATCATAATGTCTGGATGTAGGAATATCATTATTTAGGTATGAAGCTTGCTATATAATTTAGACCTATAATATAACATGTCGACATATATATAGTATTGATGGACTTGTGTTAAAATGACATTTGCCTTAATTATCGTTTTTTTTTGGTTGATACGTTTATCTTACATACCGGTTTATTCGTAAGAGCCTTTTCTCGAATGATTTTACTTATAGGTATCTTCAGGGCTAGACGATAGACTTATGAATCAGTTCAATACTAGCTACAAATATAATGGTGGTTATGACTATTCTGACTATTCAGCAACACATGAGTCGTCATCATCCCTTTCATGGAACACACTATTTGTACAGGTATGATAACACAAAAACGATTACACTACGGATATATGTGTTGTGTACAAGTTATCATATTGTACAAATTATAATTTGTACAAACTATTGTAAAAATTATAATTTGTATTTTTACTTTGAACGCATTGTAATTTGTGCAAAAAGTGCTTGTTCAAATTACAATTTATACAAAATTCGACTAAAATCAACGTATTATTTGCACAATAATTCATAGTATGGATATTGTTTAAAAAAAATAATTGATGCACACTATATAATGTTTATTTAACGGTCACACAATTAACCTTATTTACAAAATACAAAAATATCCTGATAGAGACAGGAAATGTAATTGATACATACATACCAGTTAATTATGATAATACAACAGAAATTACCCCCAGTAAGAATTCCGATAGAATACTAGAAATTGGCTCCAGTGAGAACTCTGATAGCGTACATGGTAAGAGGAATTGACCCAAATGAGAATTCTGCTAGTGTAATAGAAATTGGCCCTAGTGACAACCAAGATGACACTGACGTTGAAACACCAATCATACTTTCAAGGAAGCGTTCGCCGTCTGTCCAACAGATCCAAGCCGAGTATATAACCAAAAAAACGAAACGAAAAAGTTCAGAGCCGGCTGTGTCATTATACCAATTCCTCAGTATGCCTGTTGTATCCTTGTAATTATTGAAGCTGGGGAATTAGTGTACCGCATTGGAACAGCTGTATAAATTTAAAAGGATATCTGTCGATAAATAAATCCTGAGCTGCTAAGGACACGTCTTTATTTGCAGCAACGGTTCCTGAGCTTCAACTTTCGCTACGTTAATTAGTTCAAAAGCTTTCAATAACTGGTGGTCAGGGTCCTTAATGAGTTTCATGCATGTAAATGCAAAGGACGGTGCTGCACTTGTAATTGTAAAATTTAATGAAAAAGCAAAATATGTTGTGCAATTGCCGATGCTTGCCATAGTTCACTCACTCACACGCTCAAACAAATGATACATAACTTTTTTTTGTACATTGCAAATAAGGTTTAAGATGTGGTCATTTAATACAAATTATATAGTGAGTATCTATGCATTTTCTTATAACAAAATCCTTACTAAATTATTGTTATAAGTTAATTTTAGTCAAATGATGTACCAATTGTAAAATGTACAGGCACTTTGTGTACCAATTACAATTTGTACAATGTGAAAATATGAATTATAATTTGTACAAAATGATAACTTGTCCAGAACATATACATGTAAAGCCATTTGTACTTAAACATTGAACATAACAACAAGTATTAGTCTATAATTCAAAAAATGCTAAACATCTTTATTGAGATGATTTTACCCCTTGTTTAAATTAGAACACCTAATGTTTAAGAGTTTGTCTGATTTCTTCCGATGAATTTGTCAATTAGATGGATCTAAAGTTTTTACAATTTAGTTTTAAGTGCAATATATGAAAAAATATATTACAAGTCATGAAACAAATCACTACACACACTTGTCATCACTTTAATGCGAAGATTAAGAAAACGAACACGGTAAGTTTATTGTTAACTGGTCCTCATCTCAAAGTAGCAATTAAACATGCAACACGGAGAAAAAGCTCATATCCCAATGCATATTCAAGACAACCATCTTTTTCAAGTTACATCTATAAAAAAAATCTTGAGAGATCTTTTTATTAACTTAACTTGTCAAAGACTTCTGTTTAAGTGTTGGGAAAAATCATAATTGATAGATATAAAAACAACATCAAGAAAAATGGTCAGCTTATTATTATAAATAAAGTATTTGGTACGAAAAGCGTTAGAAAACCTGCTGACATAATATACAAATAAATACAAGTAAAAGCAATTTAACAGAAATCTGTCGTTTTTCTTTTTCATGATTTTGTCATCAACTTCAGTGTGATCATATACATATACATATAACTGACAACTTTTAAAAGTAGATAGCAATTTGAGGAAGCTCTCACTGAATCATATGTTAACATTTCATGTAGGCAGAATGTTGTGGAGTAGGACCTAGGATAGAATCGTCATTCGAATCTACCTACTGGTATATACATGGTGACAGATCAGTAGGTGAAAAAATTCCAGTACAATGTTGCATTTCTCAGTCAAATGTCTTCCCTTATTCTACTAGCAGAGATGTCAGATGTAACTCTCCTATACTTGAAGGCTACTTTCACTCTAAGGTTAGTTTTTTAAAACTTCTAACCTTTAGGTTATGCAGTCTTTATGTGTAATCACCATTTCTCTTTTCAAAAGCTCTAGATTTATCTTATCAACATTTCTTAATATATCGATATAGAATTTGATATTTCCATCAATAAAAAACCAAATGACTATAAAGTCTTAATAAATGACAGTATAAATAACAATAAATCGTTTTCATCAAACGGATAATAGACGGATAAATAGATTTTTAATTTGTAAAATACGCACTGAACGGTCAATTCAAATGGTTTTTTCAACAAACAATTTTAAAAATTGGAATTCAAAATACCAAACGTGGTAACACATTTAGTTAGGCAAACAACAAATAAATAAACATAAGCATGAAATTTGTGATTAAAACAAAAGAATTGTAACAAAAAATGCCTCCCACTGTATAACAGTCGTTTAAAATTCCGTTGTATTATATTATCCGTAAAAATAGGTGCAACCAATACAGACATATATATATGCATTCATTTTGTCCATTTTATCAATGTTCAGATGGTACAGCGAAAATCAATCAACAAAGAAATACAATTAATTAGTAAATTATATTCAAGATTGAACTTTTTAAAGGATAGTTGAAATTAATTATAACTTTTTGTTACAATCGAAATAATATTTATGTTCCCATGTAAAGCCATTTGTTATAACTATTAAGTTACTTTGTCGATAAAGTCAATTTTTTGACAGTCATTTGGTGATATCTCTCAAGAGTGAAACTGGTTGAAGAAAAATAGTAAAAGTGACTTTTTGTAATGTATTGGTTGATATGAATAAAATTCAAGTGAATTATCATCTGTTTGTTTTATAATATTCTATTGTATCATTTTGTATTGTATTGTGTCTTTTAGTCATGTGATGTTGCAGTTAACATAAGATTAAAAATATACAGCACAGTTTTCATTGTATTCATGGCGATCATCATTTTAGCAGAGGTGAGTATGTGTATGTTTAAAAGGGTATACAGTAACCATTTTCTGAGTGCATGACGAAAACACAGTATGAGTTTATTGACTGATTTTAGGTTATGTTCATTTATGTACTATTTGATAGTCCACTAGTTTAGATGACATACACATGGAAGGTTGCGCACATAATTGTATTCACATTATTCAATACATGACATCCAGAAAAGCGTTTAAGACACACGAAATTTACAAATTCATATTGTACAACACTGGGTCAATGCCGTTGCAAGAAACGAAAAAGGAAAAACAAAACTAACAAAAGGACAAACAACAGTTTACAAAATATGGAACACAACATAATGAGAATAGAGAGCCACAGAAAAATACAAAAATCTAGGGTGAACTCAGGTCAGGTGCTCTGGAAGAGAAAGCCATCCCTGTTCACATGTATAACCCGTCGTGTTTCCCATGCATGTACACATTCGCTACAATTTTCATTGTTGATGTCACATTCGAGGAACAGGTGACGTCATTGTGACTAAGACAGTTTAAAATTATATCTGTTCTACTAATGTGAAACCGATATTTCCCAAGGGACTACAAACTTGTGCCCGTAATGGAATGCATTCATCTTAACTACCTTGATTAATTGCTTTAATGCCATAATAAACTATGAACAGTGCACGAAACAGAATTAGCTTTCTCATTCATTTTCAAATTATATGTATCAAGACTAAATTGCGTTTTACAAACGATTGTACTATTTACGATCATCGGTTCTTTGTATAGTTTGTTACCACTTGTCACACTCAGGAGGACATTTTAAACAGAGGCCATGAAAAATAATTTAAAATATAAGGAAGCGATCAATGAATAAACATTTATTGTAATAATTTGATTCGTTATCATGCGGTTATCATATTAAAAAGGGAATAAAAAAAAAAACAGTACGAAAAATAGATTTTCGGACAAAGAAGAGCTCCCAAGCATCATATTAACATTCCAACTTAACTGAACCAGATGCGAATTTTGATAATCAATGTCTTCAGTATAGATTTGATAAAAAATTCACAAAACAATGGATTAAAGGTAAAAAAACCAAAACACGTAGATGTATTTTGCTTCTTATGTCGTCGTGTTGCTCTTTGATTACATATAAGCATATATCTGTGAATTCATATGCAATTAAGAAAAAAATTACATCAGCAGAAGGAATTCGTCAGAGAGCATAAATTTTTAGACTGGAAAGCAAATATCAAAAAAAAATAAATGTTTATAAGTAAATTATATGGGTTAGTTGCTTATATAACTCAGAAACTTCTTTATTGTACTGTTGTTCTGCTTTACTGATGGTTACATTATAAATGAAATCACTAAAATATATCCACAGTTTTGAAGAAAAGTTAATTGATGCAATATTTCCTCAAAGGAGATTGGCACTCTATCTTAAATTTAAATGATACATTTTCTGTAAACTAAACTAAACTAAAACGAGTCCATTTTGTGATGGCAGTGAACCCATGATACTAATTCTAGCACTCTCACTTAAAATTAAATTATTCATTTTCTGGGGTATCATATTAACATTTAAAGTCGAAATCTACAGTAGTTTCGAATTGATATAAAAAGATATAACTAAAAGTATTCAATGTTGTGGTGACGTCAACCCATGTTACTAATTAAAGGTCACTCTTTAATTTAGATCTGTTGTGTTGTGACAACTGTTTTAAATGCAAAACGATTCAAGCAAGACGCAACAATATTGAACCGTAGTAAAAAACCGAGTGGAGAGAATACTGAAATGAGAAAAGATGAAAAAACACAAAAAGAAAAGGATAACGCAAGGAAAGAAAGAAAACATGGAGATAAAAAAGCAAAAGGATTACCACGAAACAAAAAGCAAAGGTCAGTAGGAACAGAAGAAATACAGCAAAAAGCAAACACAATTGTGCAAGAAAACGCGGGAGAAAACATTGAATTACAAATGATGAAATCGATGGAAATTGAAGACACGGTTAATAACAAACCTGATGAACCTAACAACAAAAGAAGACAAGAAGAAGACGACTTGGCTGAAAAAGATTTAACGATGCTGGACAACTAAATCAAAAGTTTAAAAAATACTGAAGTGATGAAATGTTATAATACTGGAAAAAGAAACAAATAAGTTGGTTATCTTGTTTTATATGTGTAGTTGACACGTAAGAGCAAATATACATGGAACGAATCATCATTGCATATGTTTCCAGTGTATCTTTTAAAAGTATAAATTCTTCAAGACTGTCAGAAATTATTTGGAGGACAATCTGTTGGCGATAGTGTTTATGAAATATTAGCTTTTTTATTATCATTTCAGCAAGACTCTATTTTATAACACCAACATTTATAAACAACAAAACACATATGTCAAATCTATCTATATATCCTTAATTGATTATGACTGCTAAGGGAGGACCATTTGAATATAGATGAGAGAGGGGATGAGTATACTCATTTGTAAATACAATTTATGAAGATTTGTAAGCTCTTAAGATTTTTAATAAGCTCTTGGATTTTAATTATTTTGGCCTTCTATGTATTTGAAAGAGCTAAAAAAAAGTATCAATCTGTTCGCATATATTTAGTTCTTATATATACAGTTATTCACAATATAAATAACCCATTATTTTGTTGCGAGTTAATCAAAGACTGAACTATATTTGTAATCTACATTGACAGATTATATTCAATCATACTTTTATGGCCATATCGTTTTTTTATTTTATAGTTTATTCGCATGGTTTTCTTTTATTTCGTAAATGTGGACTATGTTTAAATATTTATTTGTTCGTGTAACTGTATGATAATGCTTCTTTTCTATTTATACTTACATTATAAAAATGGCACTATGTTTTAATTTTATTTTCATATATGTAACACTAAATATTTATTGCTAATAAAATAATGTAAGGATATAGTCCGGTGATATAAAAAAAAATGAATCTGGAATTTAAAACTGATATTATGAATAAAAAGATATATTAAAAAAGAAGATGTGGTATGATTGCAAATGTGTCAACTCTCCGCAATAGACCAAATTAAACAGAAATTAACAGATTTAAGTCACCGGACGGCCTTCAACAATGAGAAAAGCCAATACAGCATAGTCAGCTATAAAAGGCTACGAAATCAAAAATGTAAAACAATTCAAACGAGAAAACTAACAACTCATAAATGTAAAAAAAAAAGAAGGACAGACAATTATGTTACACAGCAACAAACGAAGATCATTGAATTACATGCTCCTGACATGGGACAGGCACATACATATTAAATGTGGCGGGGTTAAACATGTTAGCGGGATCCCAACCCTCTCTTTAACTTGGGACCGTGTTGTAACAGTACAACATAAGAACGAACTACAAAAATCAGTTGAAAAAGGCTTTGAACTAAGTCAGAACTGCAAATTTGTTGATTGGGCCAAATTGTTTTACCTTGTATCGTAGAGAAAAACGCGAGGAGCTCGAACATCTGACAAAAAAATACCTAATCTGACATGACTACATCTTTGAACAAATTCGATATGTTTTTGTGGGCGTCTTAACTTTTTTTATTCGAGCCTTACCCAAGAGTCTAGTGTAGACAATGTAGATTGGTGTCTATGATTCCATGAAATGAAATGGCCATGACAAGCTGATACCATGGATAAAAATCGGACATTTTGATGTTCTTGAATCTGACCTACAAAACTATACGTATCACCAGGTTTGTACGTTTTTACATTGTAAGCAGCACAACGGGTCTGCATACCCTAAGATGAACTCCGGATTTTGGTCAGGTTCCTGTTGCTCAGTCTTTAGTTTTCTATACTGTTGATTGATTTTCGTTTTTTGCAATGTTATTGAATAATCCCTTTTGTATCATTTGCTTCTCTTTTACAAGCAAGTGTAACTATTGCAGAAAATTTTAATATTATTTCTAATCATCATCAACTTAGTGAAATGCAGACTAGGTTAGTAACTTAACAGCCCCTTTCAGCACTATCATGATAATTCGCAGCTGTGAGTTTTAAGGTGTAGAGGAAGCTTGAGTAAACACAGAGAATCAGCGACCTTCTATAGGAATAATGACAACCCTAGTCAAACGCACTTGGCACGTGCAGATTCAGAACTCACAACCTCAGTGTTGACAGACAATCAGTGATTAGAGTAGTTTGACTACCTATACAAGTCGCCCTTCGAGGCCCATAAGCTTCAAAGACAACATTTGATTTGTCACTAAAGTTTTAGTACAATAAAGTAAATTATCAACTGGAATTTGACAGACAAGAGGTAAAATTGTAATACTAGTTAAGTATTCCACAATACTATCAGCAACAATATCAGCAAAACCAGACACAAATCTAAATTGATTATAGTGCACATACACATAGAAGGTTGGAATCCCTCCAACAATGTATAAAATTATATCAAAAATGGAAATCATGTCACTTTTATGACTTTAGAGAGACATTTCCGCCAAAATGGTAGATTATTAGTAAGCTAGTTGTATAGCAAGCTCAACCCTTCATTCGTATGTTAGTACGACCTTACTATATGTACTATTAACTACAAACACTTTTTCTCGTCTTTGTTAGCTTTAATATGAACTATCATCTTCTTATATCTATCATAACCTTTTTGATTGTCATGTTGTCAAATTAATTGTATTATGTTTGTACTAGATGAGTATGGTATTACATGTGTCTATTAGTGTCTCATTGACTGTTGAATAATAATGATTACTAGTTTTGTACTTGCATAAACAACACGACGGGTGCTACATATGCAGCTTGATGTAGTTATCCTTCAGGAGCACATTATGTAACCCTTGGGGTTCGTGTTGCTCATTCAATAATTTTTTTTGTTGTCTACTATTATTTGTATTTTGATTGTTTTTCGTTTTTGCCATGGCATTGTCAGTTGATATTCTACTTCTGAGTTTTATCATCCTTTTGATATCATTTGCCTCTCCTTAATTGTCCTTCAAAGGAAAACATATATATATACTGAAAAACAACGATAATGTATTTTACATGTTATAAATATTAAATGTACAACAAGCACTCCTTTAGGGGCAAATCAGTTATAAAACTTATGAACTATACATTTAAAAAAAAAAAAGACACTACAGATATATATACAAAACGTACTTATTAATCTAGTTAAAACTGTGCATAATGTTTTACTATCATATTTACAATGCACGTTATTAAGTTAAAGATTCGCGGAAATCAATTATTATAACTTTGTATTGTTTCTTTTGTTAACATGAATAATAAACTACCATGAACTAAGAAGGTTAGTGCACACCACACTAGCCTTACATATCATCTCTTTAAATGTACCGTTTAAAAATAGATGTATTGTCAAGAGCATTTACCACTAAACTGTCTCAAGATATTTAAATTGACAACCGTACAATTGTTACTATCAACAAATAATTTTTAAAATGGCGAAAATAAACGGAAGTCGTATCACTGTTTCAGCAAATATTATTCTGACTGCCTCTTTAATTACAAGGGTAAGTTAACTTGCATTGTTTTGGGTCCTTAATGCACTTTAAATTCGTACTTATTTGACCTTTCAGTGTATTTTTATTTGATCGTCATTGGCACCAATGAGACTTAGACAAAAAACGCGTCATCCGAGATATAAGCCTTGTAACTTTCATAAGTTTTATATTATTAAATGTACAAAATGTTTAATTGGTTTTGTTTTGCAAATAACTGAGTTTTAGATAGTGAAACACAAAAAGAAATTAAAATTAATAAAGGTTGAACTCATGAATCATGATTTATATAAGTTAAAGAAAAAGAACATATGTGCAAAATCTTTATATTTTATTGAAACTTTCAAATAATTATTAAAGAACCAAGTTGTATTTTGATACAAATTGCCTGTTGAAGGCCGTACTGTGACCTATAGTTGCTTACATCATTCATGTCATTATGTTCCTAATGGATAAATGTCTCACACGTATTTAAACTCATTATGTCTCATCTTTATACATATGTGCTTGATGTTCATGCTCTTATATCATTATTTTTATAATAAATGTTTTAAGAAATATTCCCTATTTTTACTATTATATTTCTTGTCATTTGGCTTCTTTGCTAACCGATTTTTTTTTTGCAATTCACCAAATTTATTTCCTTTTTTATAGTTTCGCAATTTTCGACCAACTTATCATACAGATATCTAAATTTGTGTACGTCGTAATTGTCTTAATATTGTTTTATCTATTAATCAACAATGACATTATCGGGGTAATTAATGAACGAATTCGATAATTTTTATTCAAGATATGATGTACAATCTATTGACATTATATTCAAGTTCTTCATTGTATTCTTCAAATGTAAAACAATAAGTTCATTTGTTAAATATAGTTTACAACACATGTGCTTTGAACCTAGGTAAACATTTATGACAAGATAATTCATTTCAACACACAATTTTCCTCACTACGGATATTTAAAAGACCTATACTACCTAAATTTGATTCTTAGTTTTTTAAATTTGTATACCTGATAATTTACCACTGCTGCTTTAATCTTATTTGAAACAATACTGATCAGTTAGAACCCTAAAGGAACCAGAATGATTAAGTAAATGGCTAAACTATTTTTTACATATTATTGCTAATAATCTAGTCACCCCCTTTTTATTTCGGAAATTATCGAAGGCAAATCAACTTTGGACACTTTTCTTATTTTAGTTAAGTGTAGGGCACTTCTTATCATGCTTGGTCTATGGTTATGATGCCTGTTGTTTTCGACTTATTGCTCTTGGTTACACCTAGGTCTTAGTTCTTTTTCTTTGTTGAATTATATTTCTTTTGAATAACGTTGTGCTTATTGTATTCGTGTTTATACCTTAGGTTTCCAAAATAGAGGAAAAGATAAACAGTGATAATGAAAAATATGTCATAGATAAAATAAAAATTATGAAAAGAAAAACAAAACACGAAAAAAAAAAAGACAACAGTATACATTGATATCCTTTCCTGATGGAGGTTTGTTCGTCAAAGAAAGTTCGTATTTCCCGAAGGTAAACAGATCTTCATATCTCAATATCACTCTAGGCCGATGTAAGTGCATGTTTCATTTCACCGCTTATACTTTTTTCTATCCTGAAAATAACATAAAGATCAAAGGTGCAATTGTTAATTTCTGCTTTCGTAGATACCATTTACTACATAAAATTGATAAACAGAACATATTGAAAGGTAATTACCTGTTCTATGACAAGTGCTTTTTTCGATTTTGATTTTACTTTTGAGATTAGTTTGAACATAATGATGAATATAATATCGCTATGTTAAAGTACATTAACCTCGCGTTAATTGGCAAAAGGTAGTTGCGGTATTCAAAGTGGAATAGGATACTCATTATAAGTTTTGTAAATGTTGATTTCGCTATTAATGTTTAAATTCAGTGAAGAAATAAATACTACCGTACACATTGAACTTAATACTTATCATCATTAACAATAAAAAATCCGGACCAAAGCATGTCATACTCCACTAGTAAAACAATTCGTGATGCACACGACAAGTATTTTTGTGAAAAAGTTTTTTTTCGAGCACTAGCAGATAACATT